TGGTACCAAAAAACCCATCTTTAATAGCACCATGGAGGCTTAAATACACTGCAGTCAATGGCCAACAGGTGAAAATTCCATTCTCTGATCCTCTAAGCTAGGCACAGCTTCTAGTAACTTCAATTAGAAGGCTCTAGACAGGGAAGAGCAGCTGAAGGCCAGGACTCAATTGGTCCCAACAATCATAACCTTATTTGGGAGATTCTCAGTGAGCCCAGCAGAAGCAAAGTTTGGAATTTCAGAAGGTGTGGGGAAAAAAATGTCCTTAATAGGACACAAGCACACACACACACACCTTTACCATCTTTATAGGACAGACACACACACCTTTACCATCTTTACAGGACATGGACATGAACACACACACCTTTACCATCTTTATAGGACATGAACACACATACCTTTACCATCTTTATAGGACATGGATGGACACACACCTTTACCATTTTTATAGAACATGAATACACACACCTTTCCCATATTTATAAGACACAAACACACATACACACACCTTTACCATCTTTATAGGACATGAACACACACGCGCCTTTACCATCTTTGGGTGATGCTGTATTGGTACCTTTGCCATTTGCTCATCTATGGTCCTTACTTCCTGTATTTCCTGACTTGGGTCTTCCTGGGGAGTTGTTGCCATGAGCAGGCTTGGCTAAGCCTACCACCTTGGACAGGTGATTTGAAGGTCAGCAAGAGAGAAGTGACCACCTATCTCCTGGATCAATGGACTCATCTCTTGTCAGCAGCCACTTTCCTTCAGCCAGATGGTCTGCAAGTCACCAGGGATCCTTGTTCCTTAGAGTCATGCTTCTGACCTCCTTCCTGTCTCTGACTGTTTGCCATGTTTTAAGCTCTTGGCAAGTGGGGTGGTTTAACGGCTCCTTGCTGTGTGAGCCATTCTGTTCTCAGAGTGGAGATGCAATTTTGTTCTTGTGTTGTTTAAGCACACACACTATATTTGCAAACCTTAGCTTGCCTAGAAAATGCCCATTTCCAACCATTCTCAATTCCCCCGCTCTCTCTCTCTCTCTCTCTCTCTCTCTCTCTCTCTCCTGAGTTTCTTTTCCATTTGGATTTTGACTTCATGTCCTCTTCATTGGAGGCATGTTCAACTAAAAAGAGAAGAGGGGGTTTTAAAAGGTAAATATAGTCCCACTTAGAGCATGGCCTTTGAAGTGAACAGACCCAGGAGGAATGAATCAGACAAAGGGCTTGAAAGAGGCACAGATGTTGGCATCAGAGACTTTCAGTCTCCTCAGAGATTCCCCGCATGTGTACTTAGGATGTAAAAGAGATGCTAATGAATGCTTCTGAGAAAGACTAAACATGAGTACATGAGTGCCAGCAGAGTAGTTGGTGTGTTACAGAGAAACAGTTTATAAAATAGTGTGAAGTATAGTGTAATACAGACATCAATAGGAATTATCTCATATTATCAAGTAACATGCACGTACTGATTGCTTTGCTGCACAAAAGTGCAGTGTGACTAGTGAAATTGTAGTTTTTGCACCAGCATTACCCTCAGTGTGTGAAGCATGTGCTAGTTTTTATGTCAGAGGACAGAACTTTGAGAAAATGTCCTCAGCAGATTGGCCTGTAGGCAAGTCTGCAGAGCATCTTCTTAGTGACCAAAGTGAGAACAAGCCATGAGGAACAAGCCAGTAAACAGCACTCCTGCATGGCGTGGCCTCTGTGTCAGCTCCTGCCTCCAGTTCCCACCTGACTTCCCTCAGTGATGGACCTTGATTGGACATGCGAGCTGGACAAACCCTTTCCTCCTCCCATAGTTACCGTTGGTTGGTGCTTCATCACAGCACTAGAAATCCTAAGACATATGGAACCCTACTATGTATATAGTCCATCACTGAAACATTACTTTGTGGTGGATAGCTACCCAGTACTTGTTTCTTGAGGGGCTGTTTGTTTGTTGGCAGGTCCTTGCTACACACATGCTTGACAGCTCTCCGGAACTCACCACTGACCAGAGCTAGCTGGCCTTTTCTCTTCCTTGGCCCTTTACAGTTTTTTATCCTCTATCAGCTTCACCTTCCCAGCCTGTTTTCACTTTCCCTTCCTTTCTGCCCTGGCTGCTCTCTTAACTGTTCAGTTGCCTCTCCTTTAGTTTTCAGGCAGCTCACCCTGAGCCCACCAAACTCTCTGCCGTCATCCCTACCAGGGCTGCTCTGCTGCCTCTACTGCTTTATTCTTCCCGTAACCAGCTCAGCCCACAATCCTAAAAATGGAAAAGACCCAAGAAAAGCATCTTCACTAATGCAACACCAGGGAGGCAGCTCAGGAGGGCTTCTTAGGTATAGGTGGAAGTGGTTGTTACAATTCACTAAGGCTTGTGGTATCCAAAGTCTGGTACAAACTTTTAGAAACTGCTCAGACTGAGGCTGCACTTTCATTACACTACCTGGTATTCAGCTGAGATAAAGGCATCCCAAGAGTGTTCTAGACTGTTGGTGCTGGCATAAGTCATAGTAGCTGTTTGACAGACAGTTCTTATACTCAGTGGATATACCACCAGCCAGCTAAATTGTTCATGACTAGCTAAGCTATGAAAATGGTTTCACAAAGAACCTGGTTGTTAGACTGTTTGTTGGCCCCAGCATCAAATGGAGGCACAATAAATTAGGAAAACACAGTACAACTCACAAGGCAAACTCAGAGAGGAGCTTTTAAGTTTCTATTATCCACATCCACACAAGTACCTAGCAGGTTTTCTTCGCTATTAATTATTGTTTGTTTTTTACCAAGTCCTATGGTGATTGTTGAATGTCTTTCTGTACTTGTTCTTTGCAACTGTGGGAAAGCAACACTTAGAAAATTGCTCACTGTATGTACAGTTACTCCAGGCTGTTCCTGTTAAGTTGGACCTTGGAGTACAAATACTAATTCTAAACCCCTCCCTCTTAAGGCCAGAGACTTTAAAATCATATACTTCTGTAGCAATGCCAATTTTTTAAAAAAAAATTTTTTTCTCAATGGGCCGGTCAGTGATGGCACACACCTTTAACCCTCAGGAGGCAGAGGCAGGTAGATCTCTTGAGTTTCTGCCAGTCTATAGAGCAAGTTCCAGGACAGTCAAGGCTACATAGAGAACCCCTGTCTTAAAACAAACAAAAACAAAAAGCAAACAAACTTCCTTTCATTGTTTGACAGTCCCATACACTTAATTTATAGACTACATTTCAGCTGTTTTCACCCCTGTTATCGCTCTGTCCTCTCCCATAAATCCCTTCTGCTTACACAGCCCCTCCTACTTTCTGTCTTGTGTGTGACCCACTAAGCTCAGTGAGAGTTTCCTGCTGTGGGATAATGCTCTTGAACACTGTAAAGATTTGCCATTCATATTGGTTAAATAAAATGCTGATGGGCCAGTAGCCAGGCAGGAAGTATAGGTGGGGTGACCAAACTAGGAGAATTCTGTGAAGAGGAAAGTCAGAGATGCAGTCACCAGCCAGATGCAGAGGATGCAAGATGAGAATGCCTTACTGGGAAATGGTACCAAGTCACATGGCTAAACATAGATAAGCATTATGTGTTAATTTGAATTGTAAGAGTTAGTAATAAGCCTGAGCAATAGGCCAAACAGTTTATAATTTAAGCCTCTGTGTGTTTACTTGGGACTGAACGGCTATGAGACCATGTGGAACAGAAACTTCTGTCCACAGTTTCTTGCTTAAACACAGGTGGGAGGTTATTTATTGGAGCAACAACAAAATGACACTGTCAAAAGTCCTTCAAGAAGGGTAGGACTTATAGACCCCCCCATCCAGACCCATGATGAATGTAGATAAACAAAGAACAGTCAAGGTAACCCTTTGCCATCAAGAAGCCACTTGAGGGGCCTCTCACAACCCCCCATACCAAGTTTCATTCAGTCATTTTCCTGTTGTCATGGAGGAAACTCCTTCCTGGAGCAATTAAAGAACCTAATTCCTATTGTAAGAAACCATACTGCTCTGGATGATAGGACAGCTATGGAAGAAAGAACAAAAAAAAAAAAAAAAACCTCAATAAAAGCCATAAAGCAAGTATTCTGGCAAACTTCTATAAATGAACAAAGATTAAAATTAAAAATATGAATAAATGACATTGTCATTGAAGGTCTGGTAGACACAGGTGCGGATGTAACAATAATTACACCAGAATCTTGGCATCTCAATTGGCCACCTCAGGACGTAAATGTTCAGCTTTTAGGGATTGGAATTCTATCTCAAGTTAAACAGAGCGTGAGATGGGTCGAATGTATAAGACCAGAAGGAGGAAGAGGAAAATTAAAGCCATGGGTGGTTAACATAGCAGTGAATTTGTGGGGACATGATTTGTTACAACAATGGAATACCCAGATTCACGTTCCCCCAGTCTCAGAATGCACATGTGGATCTTGTATACAGTGTCTCCTACAACAGTAGAAACCCTGAGACATCATGTGTCTTAGTGACTACATCAGTTCAACCACATTCTTTCTCTAGGCACATATGATTACAATTCTGTGGGGGAAATAATTTTTCAGTGTCTATTGGCTTGTAAAAACTAAATCTGTGGGCATAAACATCCAGATAAGTAGTAAAATACAAAGAAAAAAGCCAAAGATGAAGAACGTCCAGCAAACCTCCAGCACACGTTTCTTAGTCTTGTTACCAGAACTGACAAAGTTCATCGTCCAGGTTCCCGTTCCTGACAAACTGTTGACAAGAAAAAGGGACCTGGCCTGAGACAGCCAGCCAGCCTGGAACAGAGAACGAGCCGGCTTTCCTGAGGAACACTACAGGCAGCAGGAATTGATGCCAGTAAAACAAATGGGCACATGTGTTTGCTGGCTTTCTGTTACAAAGGAAGATGGCAGGATGGTTTCTGCAGAAACAGTGCCCGCTGTAGCTTTAGGAACACCACCCCTACAGCTGTGCAGTGTGTGTGGCTTGAGACAGTGTGAGTGAAGAATGACATCTTCGTTGCTTTTCTTTACTGTCCCTTAGGAGCTGGCTGGCACTGAACCTCTCAGTAGTGAGGAAGACAGCAGTGTGGACGTCAGACACCTGCCTGACACTGAAAGCCCCAAACCGGTAAGAATCCTAGGGAGGGCACAGGGCAGGAGCAGGGCTTGCACTCACTACCCTAGACGAAGGACTGACTGCTTTGAGCTCTGAGACAGGAACACAGCATCTTCCTCACCACACTTGAACTGTGCTGTCTGGGACTACGGCGGCATCCAGCCCCTCCTTCCAGTGCAGCTCAGCCCTGGGTATTTCCAGGATCTGGACTGAAGGAACCTTAGCAACACAGGAAGAGATGATGCCGTTGTTTCCTAGTAAAAGATACTTAGTTGCCCCACATGAAGGAAGTTGTGGCTGTCCCACCAGGTGCCTTTGACGTCTTGTTTAATTGTCTACTTTGAACCAAGCTCTCTGCTGTGTTCTGCATTGGTGACGGTAGTGACCATTCCTTTATAAATAAGGACATGAAGTTAAGGAACTTAATTTCCTTCAAAGGTCAATGGCTTCTTTGTGTGCATGCTGTCTGTGTCCATGCCTTTTTTCGTGAGGTACCTTTCTGGTTTGTATGCAATCACTTCCAAAGCTGGACTACAGTTGTTAGAAAGAACTGTGGGCTGGCTTTGGTCGTTGTTGTTTCCTTGCCCTTCTGTGGTTCAAATGTGTATAGATCTCCAGAAACTCACCATTTAGATGATTTTAAATCTGCCTGAGGTCTTATTTTACTTGAAGGAGTTTGAGGAATAATTCATTTCTTTATCTTTCAGCTTTTAGAAAAAGTATGTATTGGAACTCTTTAGATTTTATCTCCAACTAAGTGAACTGATTTGCTCAGGTATAAAAGAAAGGTTACTTCCGCAAAGGTAGAAATTGTAGCAGACCACTACAAACTAGCAAACTTCTTGGGACACAAGATCCCACTCACAAGGGGAGCAATAAATCACACATAAGGCCCCCTGTTCTTTATTTATATATAAATAAAGTAAAGTGTGCTTTTCAAACCCAGAATGAAAGTACGAACCTCCTGGTGGTTCTCCAGGAAGAGAGATTGGTAAGATGAACCTGACCTACCTGACTGTGCAGTCTCAGAAGCCCCACAATAGGTTGTCTATAAGCTGAAGAATCACAGAAGCCAGGTTCAAAGGCCTTAGAACCAGGGATGTCACTGAGACAAGTCATGGGAATCACATGCTGGAGATCTTGGGTGCTGGTGTCCAAGGCCAGAAGCTGGTACAGCTGCCCAGGAAGGGCAGGGAAAGGAATTGCTTTAGCTCACCTGTGGAAGCAGTAGTAAGAGAAAGGAAACAGGTGCTGAAATATGAAATAAGTTGCCTAAAACGACCCAGCACGGAAGCTGCACTCCAAAGTACTGTGTAGTAGAGGCAATCAGAGATACAGACACAATGGAACCAAAGTCTACAATGAAGAACTCACTCTGGGATCACACTTTGCTGTATACACACACACACACACACACACACACACACACACCTCTAAATCATCAACTCCTAACATCAAAAAGATAAAAACAGGTCACTAAAAAGTTGAAATTTAGTGACTCAGTAGTTAAAAGCACTGGCTGTTCTTCTAGAGGACCTGGGTTCAATTCCCAACACCCACATGCCAGCTTACAACTGTCTGTAACTCCAAGATCTGACACCCTCACACACACATACCTGTAGGCAAAACAAAAAAATTAAATAAAGAACTGAAATTTACACATAATACATTTTACACTGATGATTAAAGCTATGTATAGACAAACAGATATTTCACAAAATGAAATAAACTAAAATGTTTCCAAAGCCAACCTGTGCTAGGCATGTCCACAGCAGCTGCCTTGTTGAACCCCGAGGGGCATGTGGTGCTGGCTGCTGAGGAGCTGCACTTAACAGAGGGCAGTCTCTTCTGTGAGACTTCACAGTACAGTCCTGTACTGTGTTGATCATATAGGTGACCTTACCCCGCCCCCCTGTCTTTTATGTACCTTGGTGTTATGCCTACATGTATGTCTGTGTGAATATCAGATCCCCTGGAACAGGAGTTACAGACAGTTGTGAGCTGCCATGTGGGTGCTGGGAATTGGGTCCTGGTCCTCTAGAAGAGCAGTCTGAACCATCTCTCCAGCTCTGGATGACTTTTCTTAAAGTGAAAGAAATATCAGGAATCTCTTTACATGTATGCAGGGAGCCCAGTGATGAGCAGGACTTCAGACCTTCGTTGTTTGGTTAGACGAGGCCTCCCTAGGGACTCCAGGCTAGCTTCAGACAGATGAGCTTCCTGCCTTAGCCGTACAAGTGCATGGCATGCACTACCATGCCTGCCTGTGCTTTTAAAGAGCTTGAGGTGCACAGGTGCTCTCACACTAGGCTCCCATGTTTAGAAGCTTGTTGGTTAGGTGGGAAGGAAGGAGTAAAATGGGGCGGGGCTCACTGCATTCTTATAACTGACCTCCTGTTGGCTGCTGCCTTGAATCTCTATCCATGTCTGGGCCCCTAATTTTCCGCTTTCCTACAAAGCCAATATACCTTTTCTGTCTTCTTGGCCATTCTCCTTGCTATTACAGTTACCAAAACAAAATGATTCTAAGCAACCGGCTCACAGTAAATAATAAAGAGATAACTAAAGTAAACAATGGGAGAGAATGCTAGTATTTCTCCAGGGATATAAAATACTTGGTAAATGTGGGAAATATGTTCAGGATTCTTTACCACTAGAGAAAGGCGCCACTGTGAGACATGGCTTCATGTATCAGTCACAGTGATGTGTGGCTTTGCAGCTAGTAGAACGGCTATAATCAACACAGCAGATAATGGAGGTGCTGTGGTCTGGAGGAGCTGGAACTCACTCATTAATCCCTGGCAGGATTCCAAAGGGGGGCGACAGATTCTAGGAATCGGCTACTGAAGGTAAACAGATACCACCTCCTATGGTAGCTATGTTTCAATTATATTGAAATTTCTACTTTGATCGAGCTAAGAACTAAAAGTACTTGGTATTCACAGGTCATATGAATGAGGGCCTCATCTAGGGACATCTGAATTGAGATTTGAAGAAGCTTTCGATATATTCTCTCTTAGTCTCTATATGGGGATTAGTTCCCAGGCCCTCAAGATACCAAATCTTTTATATAATGGTCAAATCACTTATATAAAATGGTGAGGTGGTTTGCTATAATCTGTACATATTCTCTTCTTTAAGACATTTGATTTCCTATAATACCTAATATAGTATAAGTTGTACTTATACTGTTGTATATTATAGTTGTATTGTGTTGCTTTTAGAATAATCAAGAAAGTAATCTATATGTGTTCAGTGCAGATGCAGGTTTGTTTCTGGTGTGTGGGTGTTTGGTATTGTCCATTATGGTGGTTGAATTGTAAATAGAGCCTGTTTTAAATAAGCAAAAAAGGCTGACTGTGGTTGGGAATGGAGCTGAAAAGAAACAGAGGAGGGACTGGAGAAATGGCTTAGCAATTAAGAGCACACACTGCTCTTACAGAGGACCTGAGTTTGGTTCCCTGAACCCATATTAGGTGATTCCAGGAAATCCAATGTTTCTACCTTGTATAGGCACCTGCACTCATGTGCATATACCCCCACACAGATACATGCATACATGTAATTTTAAAATAAATAAACTCTAGAGTGGGGGAATTCTTAACAGTCTTAGACCCTCGGGTAGTTAGTAAACTTAAAGTGTCCAGCTGGTAAGATGGAAGCAGTTGAGAAGTTAGTGAAAGCCAGGTCACATTACGGAGATGATCACTGAGCTGACAGCAAGAGGCAGCCTCAGAGGGCTGCAGGGGCTGGCTACAAGTTGCTTGTATCTGCTATGTGGAGATCAGACAGGCCAGAGTGGACAGGCCGGGTAGGAGTCAGTGGCAGCAATGGCAGCATGCAGCGTACAGTGGCCAACACAGCATATTCTCCAGAACACTGTGGAGACCATGCCCAGCAAATGTGCTTGCCAGCAGCAAGTCTGGCATGTTCCCACGAACTTCCACAGAGGTGGCAGTAAAAAGACTCACTTTTCTTGGTGCCTTGTGCCAAGTCCTTTTTTGTGCCTGCTCTTTAAAGCCCTCCTCCACTGGTTTAGGGTGATGGAAGTGCACTTCCTCGTCCTAAGGCTTGGCCAATATCCCAAGGTCCCCCTGCTCAAAAAGGCCCCGACAGATACGTCCTGCATTTCCTGTTTTGTGAAACTACATAGCAACAATGCAGGTGTGTGTCAAGTGACACCTGGCATTCAAACCTGGTTCACATAAAGCAGCAGCCTCCATAACATTTCTCACAGTTTTTAGAAGTTGTTTCGGGTTTTTGTTTTAGTTAATTTTTTCATGCTGTCAATGGCATTTGTTGCTACTATAATCTGACTCTTAGCGCAAGAACATAGAAGTGTAAGAAATCTAGATAGCAAGGTGGCCTACCTCCTGGAGGTGATTTTAGAATTTATAGAGGATCAAGATGCCGGGGGAAGCATGCACTGTTTCTGGAATTAACTTTCAACTGCCCTAAATAGTCTGTGGCATTAAACTCAAACGGAAGCCAGCAGCTTATCTCACCACTCCAGGGCTCCATCCGCTGGACCGCCTGATCTTAGGAGCACCCTTGCTCCCTGCCTTGAAATGCCTGCTCCATGGAAGACCTGCAAACACACTTCAGGGAAGATCAGGTTCTCTTATGTTAAATAGTGCATGTATGGCAAGATTTCCTGGTGTGACTGCCTTTGCAAATGTAAGGACTGTCCGGTACAACTCAAGAGCCTGAGTCTATAAAGACCTGAATCTTCCTCTGCCAGCCACTGGCTCTGAAAAGGCTCACACTGCCCATCTCTGGCTTCTCCTCCAAGCCTGGCTTTTTGCTGCCGCTTTGTTGGGATTGAATAGGACTCTGTACATGAGAACTCGCCAGCAGTTGCCTGAGGCAAGGCTTAGTCAGCAGCAGCACCTATCCCTAGCGCCAGACTCTGCCTAGGTGAACTCCAAGGGCTCTGAAGCCCTCATTTGTCAGCGCACATTTTCTTAGAAGCTGCAGTGTGACTGACTCAAAGGAGTGAAAACACATAAAAC